CACAACATTATGGATTCACGCGCCCTAATGGAAGCCTTCAAATCTGTCAGTGAGATCCATGAGTTGGGAAGCTTTTTCTCCTGTGTCTGGGCTGACACTCCTGGGTAGGCTGAGAAAGCATAGGGTAGGTATTTGGGAAGGGGTCTGCAATGGGCCGAGAAAGATCCATACTAAAGCTGCATGGTGGTTGTATTTGGGAGCCGCTTCCTTTTGGACTGGTAACAGCCGTACAGACACTCAGACTATGACTTGGTATTTGGCTCTGATGGGCTCTGCAGAAGAGATGTTAAAATCTTTAGCTCTCTTTGACTTCAGTGAGCGTGAGAGGTGCCCAGCACCTAGCAGAATCTGCCCCCCTCCCCAGTTACTGGGACTGGATTCCCACATGATAAACTGGGATATCTCCTTTTCAGTTTGTAGGCCTGTGCTTGGTGGTGTGGGCTGCATCTGGCTGTTCCTTCCCCACCCCGCTCTCCAGCCGACTGGCTTCTTGCCCTTCTTTGTGTTCCTTTCTTTCAGCTCAAACTCTGTTCTCTTTGTTTGTGACAGAACTTTGGCCTGGACTGGTGCAAACAACCTGACATTGGACTCCCAAAGCCGGATCTGATTCTGTTTCTTCAGTTAAGCCTGGAGGAAGCAGCGGAACGAGGGAACTTTGGGAATGAACGTTATGAGAACAGCTCCTTCCAACAGAAAGTTCTGCAGTCCTTCTATCATCTGATGAAGGATGAGACATTAAACTGGAAGGTGAGGAAATAACCTGAGCAGCTCTGTCACAGACCAGGGTGGGGTCTCATGAGAGCTCCTGCATTAAGCCCATCGCATCCCTGTGCTCCCCCTTCCTGCTCCTGGTCAGGGGGACACGCTGGGGACCAGGTAAGGGCAGCGTGGCCTGTGGCAGAGAGGACGCCTCCCTGTTCCAGGGCACCCTACGGGACCCCACTGGGGTGTGGGGAAGATTGTTGGTTGGTTTTGCAAAAGAGCTTTCTGGCAGTCGTTCTCTGACTGACAAACCTGGGTAAGCAGCAGTGGGACACACCCGTGCGCTCCGTTTGCTTGGCATCCTGCAGCTTCTGCCAAGGAGTTGGGAATCCCCAAAGGTTCTTGGAGCCCTCCTGCAGCTTGTCTCTCCCTCACTGATGATCGCCTTCCTTCTCGCACGGCCAGCTTACATCCACATTTGCTGTCTTACCGCTACCAGAGGTCTCTCCAAATACGTGATCTTTTTTTGTTCCATGCTGCTGCATTGCTTTTCCTTCTTGTTCCTCCCTTGGAGCTGTTTGCAGGGGGCTGCCCAGGCAGCAGCCTTATCCCGGAAGAGGGAGCGCTCCCCATTTATCCTGTGCGTAGATCTCCTAGGCTGAGCTTTTCTAGTGCAGGCATCCTGTTTATCATCTCCATCACCCTGTCAGTGCTCAGTCAGGAGATGCAGGCAGCAGCATCTGCTTATTCTGTAGCTTTCATGCAGACGTAGGACACTCCCAAGTGCACAACTATCAAGCAGCTCTCTATCAGGAGAGATGCTGGAGAGATGACGGGTGTCCATGGAACGAGCGCGGAAACCCTGTTTTGGTGTGCACTAAGGGCACAGTCAGCATTCCTATCTCCTTGCCCCTCAGTATTGGATAGAGTACGAGATGTCAGATGTTGCCCAAGAACCGTTCAGTCCAAGGCATGAAATGCAGCTCGTTGCCATCAGTCACACAAACAGAGATCAGGAAGCTGTGTTGTGCGAGCGCAGAGGTGGGGCGCTGGCCGTGCTGTAGTGAAAAGGCTGCTGTTTAATCATGAATTCTATTTACTGCATAGCCTCACAGCCTGCTCTTTCTCAGCAATTCTGCCTAGGCCAGGTCACCCTGATAAACCTGCACCTCTCTACATCTTCTCACCAAATCCTTTCTTCACTGTGGTTGCTCCCTCAGCCACACAGGAGTGATGCTGTTATTCTTTAAATGTTGAAACGTGGTTTCAATGAAACATCAGGGGTTTTTTTTTTTCCTTGGTTTTATTTTTTTATTTTGACGTCAGGCTGAGGAACACTAGCATCATTTAACTCTACCACCTCAGCTTGCAGTATTTAAAAAAAAAAAAAACCAAACAAACAACCAACAAAGCTGAACCTGGAACATCCCATGATGGATTTTTAGAGGTTTCTACTGTCACAGGTGGAGTTTATTTTGAAGAACCACTGAAGGATCAATGCACTGAGGTCTCTGGGGGGACTACAGTACAGAATGAAGAACATTTACCTGCCTTTAGGTCCTACACCCAAAGGACTGTCAGCAAACAATGTGCAGCAGCTGCTTCTGTTTCCCTTTATCCAGCCTCACATCTACATCTTAAATGTCTATTCCTAAATAAAATAGACTTTTTTTTTTTCCAATTCCACTCCAGAAATGGTGCATGGGAGGTGTAACTCGCTCCTTCCACTGCTCATGAATTGTAAATATGGAGTAATGGGGGGAGCAGAGGTAACGGCAGGGAGAGTTTTTCCTCATTTGGTGTTGGTAATCAAGGAACATGTTTCTGTATTTTTTCGTCTTGGAAACAGACAATGGATGCTTCGAAGAGCATCGAAGACTTGCACAGAGAAATCAAGTCCCTCGCAGAGGAAACCATGCAGGAGGTTCGGGATAAACCTTTGGGAGAACTCTGGAAATAAAACTTTATACAGGTTATTCTTTCAGACCTAAGGGAAAACTCACCTTTTGCGTTTCCCTCGCTTGAGTAACTCCCCAACACCACCTTCCAGTAACTACAGCTTCGATCCCCTGTATTGTGCCGGCACGGTGCTGATGTCCTCATGATTTTTCTCCACCCTTCCTGCGTCCTGCACAGTCCCTGCTGTATTTTATAAATGAAGATGCGATGAGCACATAACAGATTCCTTACAAAAGCCCCTACCTCAAGTAAGAGCTCTTGTTCTAGCCTGGGTCCTGTTGTGCAGCTGTGGGTATGGAGCCCAGGGCTGGACACGGACATGGAGAGCAGCAATGGGGGGGCAACAGCCTTCCCAGTCCTGGGGAACTGCCGTATTCCTGATTCTTCCACCTCTCTGGTACATGCATCCCCTGCGCTGAAACCAGTTTGTAGAAGACTTGTTAATAAATTATTATTTTAAACATTTTGCACAGGGTATTTTTATTTCCCGCTTCCCCTCCCCCC